AACAAACTAACAAAAAAGCACAAAACAAAACAAAAACAAATCAACCAAATAACAACACAAAAAAACCCAACAAAGAGAGCACCCCCCCAACCCCCACCCCCCCAAAAAAACCCAACAAAACAACCCCAAACAAACTAAGCAAAAAAAAATATTTAAAAAAATAGGTGTCAAGCAAAATACAACAAAACAATAACTGGAAAACAGTAGGCCCTTAAACAAAGAAATGTGTGCACTGACCAGTTCTCCAATAGGGGGGTTTGGGTAGAACCGACAGCCGACTGGAGTGGGATTGTGCCAGTCTATCGAGAGGCCGACCTCCTCAACGCTCTGGACAGAGCCCCCTGCACCCCTCCTGGCCTGTTGGCAGCTCTGACCGCTCGTACCTATTGTGAGTGAGTGTTTGTGTGTGTATGTGTGTGTGTGTGTGTGTGAGTGAGTGTGTGTGTATGTTTGTTTGTTTGTGTGTGTGTGTAGGGGTGTGTGTGTACGTGTGTGAGTGAGTGAGTGTGTGTGTGCGTATGTTTGTTTGTGTGTGTGTGTATGTGTGTGTAGGGGGGGGGGGGATAACGACATAGTTACTTAACAGCACCAATTGTAAGGGAGGGGGTGTAGTGATTGAGATAAGAGCATTAAGTCGGTCAGCTGTTCAGATGTAGGCCTACTAGATTCTAGGCCCAAAGCTTTGACTTTCAAAAAATTGTATTTCTTCATCTGTGGTATCAACTGCCTGTGGTCAAAACTATTTTGCCGAAATTCAAATCCTATTAAAAAGTTTGCAAAAACCCCCAAGAAAACACACTCAATGTGGTTACAGTCGTTAAAACAATGGAACGATTATATTCTCATTCCTTAAAAATTTGACTTTCTGCGCTTATTGTATTTGAACATCTGCTGGAGATAAATGGTTACCAACCCTATTTATAAACCACCTTGGAGGCATGGAGAAGTGTTTAAGGCTATCATCCCTGCATAAACCAACATAAAGGCGTGGTGAAGTAATTAAGGCTATCATCCCTTTTTAAACCAACATACTTGGTACTCCAGGTTCAGAGATTAAGACAGGGGCATGAAAGGAAATTTGTTTTAAAAATACCACTTACCTCGTCTTCCATTACAAGTCAGTTTTCCCAGCTTATAGCGGAGCATTTTAGTTGGGGAGTCGGCAGGATCACCTTCGCCTGGAGGTGGGACGCTCAAACACACCTGAACAGGGGACAGGTACAGGTGGGTAAGGGTGGGGTGTGGTGGGACTCATGATTGACAATTTCCTCAGTGACAATACGTTTTGACTGAATTAAATACGATGGATGATGGAACATCAAAGTTAAGGTGATGACCATGATGATGATGATGAAGATGATGAAGATGATGATGATGATGATGATGATGATGATGATGATGATGATGATGATGATGACGACGACGACGACGATGATGATGATGATGATGATGATGATGATGATTATGATGATGATGATGATGATGACAAGAACAGAAAAGCAACAACTTCAACAGTAACAACAAAAGAAAACAATAACTGTATCAACAATAACAACTCCAACACCACCAACAGCAACACCAACAATAACAACAACAACAACAACACTAGTAGCAACAGCAGCACCCTGACCTGGCAGACTGGAAGTCTGTCCGTCTGAATGATATTCCCGCCATCTTTCCTGAGCTGGTCATCTGCTACGTCACAGTTACACTTCTGGTCGTTCCCTCCGTCACAGTTGCCGTTCACACCGCAAGCACACATGTCTGCGCCATAGCTTCCGGCCCAGCCTGGAGGGGAGAAAAAAGTTGAAGGTCCAAGGGTAAAAGTTCAAGGCCCAAGGGTAAGATTCAAGATCCAAGGGTAAGAGTTGAATTTTCAAGGGTAAGAGTTGAATTTTCAAGGGTAAGAGTTGCATTTTCAAGGGTAAGAGTTGCATTTTCAAGGGTAAGAGTTGAAGGTCCATGGATAAGAGTTCAAGGTCCAAGGGTAAGAGTTGAAGGTCCCAGGAAATAGTATACATCTCGATATTCAATTGTGCTGCGGGTCAAGTATTTTCTTTAAAGGCCACGTCAGTTTTAGTTTTAGTTTCAATATTTGTAGTAGTTCTACTGCCCTTGCAGCACCAATAGGTCATATAGGTGTCGAACTTTGAAAGTGTTGCTAAAGAATACAAAGAAGAAAAGGAGAAGAGATAAGGACGAATCCTTTAAAATAAATCACCCAGTCACTCTTTAGTCTTTCTTAGTTGCCCTTTACTTGTTCCTAAAGTAAGTTGAATAGTATAGACCTTAGGGAACAAACATTACGTCAGTGCTTAGTGATGTATTGATATATAATATTTTGTTGTATAGCGCAAATCCTCGCTCAACAATTACATTATTACCCAAATAGACCATAGAGCCCTCAGAAATATTTTTAACTTCCCGAGAAACGTGCAGCGCAAGCAACCGTGTAGGCGCCTGAGCACCAACAAAGTGACAATGAAAAACTTGCCGCTCCAATCAAACCCCTCACCTGGTTGTTCTGTGCCATCACAAGATGTGTAGTTTACTTGGCCAGTGGCGGGGCTGTTCTGGCATTCCAATTCAAGGGTTTGGGTACATTTCTCTGATCTCTGAACCAAAGCCTGTTGAAAAAAAACGACAACGTAGATGACAGAAAACTTTATAATATCATTATTTCATAGATAAATTGTGTTGTATGGCTACAAAAATTGTCGCGCTTGGGCGAGGGGCTAAAACCCCCCCCCCCATTTATCTTTTTCCCCCCGAAAAGGTTTTTTTCTCGGGGGGGGGGGGGGGGGGGCAGAGAGCAGGAATCTCTTGAAGTTTGATGGAAGAAAACTCCACAAACTTTCAACCATCTTCGATGGAAGAGCAAAAACGTACAAGGTTCAGGAATGGGGGTGGGGTGGGGGTGGGGGTGGGGAAGTGGCAGAGAGCAAGATACTCTTAAAAAAAAGAAAGCTGTCAAGGAACATCTTTCTTACACAAAAGGAAAGGTGGAAAAAGGGGGAGGGGGAGGGGCGAGGGTACCAAGGACAGAGCTCTTTACGTTCTCCTGCAATCATTTCCCCTGGCTAAATGGAGCCACAGCAGGCTGTCGAGTCAGACATAGATAAAAACAACGAAACAAAATATTTCAGTTTAATGTAATATTAGACAGTCCTGATAGTTTTGTAAAATTCAGTACAAAATCATTATCTGCATGATTAAAGGACATACATAGAACATTGATCAGAGTGATATACTTAAGACAGTACTCCACAGTACTGTAAAGGTATAACATAATTTCATATCAAAACGAAATCTAGCAAGGAGTTGCCTTAATTTCTGCCAATGTTCTGCTCATTTCAATGAATAAAAACCCCCAGCAATATATCTGAAATCTGCTCTTGCTCTTACAGCCAACTGAACTCGAAAAAATCAAAACAAAAGACCTTTGGCTCTCACTGTGGTCTGTTTTGTTTAGTTTGAGTAAAAGTTTTAACGGCACTTGCAGTACACATAGAAAACATAAGTGCCGGATATTAGAGGTGCGTCGAATAGTAACATAGGAAGAAAAAATGAACAAATATAGATACAGGTGTTAGGAAGGAACGAAGGAGCAAACCAAGCTAGAGCGCCCACCAACCACCCACTTGCAGACAAGAGAACACAAAAAATAAAACAAAACAAAACAGAAGAAGTTTGATTCTTACAGTCATCTGTTCCGGGGAGATGGGGCTTCCGTCGTCGCCAGTGTAGGAAATGTCAAAGCACTTGTCTGTTGGGGAGTCGGGGTCATCGGGATCTTTGTCGTCCACACCGCCGCTTCCTGCACACAGTATGTTAGCTTTGGTAAGTATTTTACTACACTCGTTCACTTATTTATTCATTCACGTATTCACCCATTCTCCCATTTGCTCTATCATTCATTCACTTATTCACTCATTCACTCTTTCACACACCCACTGAGAGTCACATTCAATGAAAAGGTCACACAACAACAACAACAACAACAACAAATAACAAAACGTTTAATTAAAAAAAACAACAACAACCCAAAAACAAACAACAAAGGAAGGCAAAACGAACATGTTAACAACAACAACAACAACCTCATCAACAACAACAACTACACAGTAACAACAACAACAACAACAATAACTATAACAGCAGCCACAACAACAATAACAACACAATAAAAAA